CTCCACATTTTCGTCTCATAACAAAAAATTCCAACGCCTATTTTTCTGACAAGAAGAATGTTTAATCATAATTATTATAGCCCATGGTTTTGTGAATTTCACTAAAAAATGCATGTACTATACATGTATCCATGTCTTATGATACCCACCCAGCTACAGTACATGTAGTTCTAAATTTCTAGCATTAATTTTAAGAGTTATGAGCAGGCTTTCTCGCAGGGATAGTGCTCGGCTTTTTGTCAGTGGATTTTTAAAGTTACTCTAAAATCTGGCAAAAGTCCCTGTAATAGGTACAGGGATTTTAGCCAAATATTGCCAAAAATGACTAGGAGAAAATTCTTCATTTTTATGATTTTTTCTGATACGTATACATGTTTTTATGCTGTGTAGCAAGTTTGAGCTGATTCCAATCAAAATTAGATTTTTCACGAATTTTTAAAGTTATTAAAAATTTGGGCGAAAGTCCCTGTACTATAGTACAGGGATTTTGGCCAAATTTTGCCAAAAATGACGAGGAGAAAATTCTTCATTTTTATGATTTTTTTCTGATACGTATACATGTTTTTATGCTATATAGCAAGTTTGAGCTGATTCCAATCAAAATTGGATTTTTCACGAATTTTTAAAGTTATTAAAAATTTGGGCGAAAGTCTCTGTACTATAGTACAGGGATTTTGGCCAAATGTTGCCAAAAATGACTAGGAGAAAATTCTTCATTTTTATGATTTTTTCTGATACGTATACATGTTTTTATGCTATGTAGCAAGTTTGAGCTGATTCCAATCAAAATTAGATTTTTTACGAATTTTTAAAGTTACTCAAAAATTGGGCGAAAATCCCTGTACTATAGTACAGGGATTTTGGCCAAATTTCGCCAAAAATGACTAGGAGAAAATTCTCCATTTTTATAATTTTTTTTGATACATAGACAAGTTCTTATGCTGTGTAGCAAGTTTGAGCTGATTCCAATCAAAATTGGATTTTTTACGAATTTTTAAAGTTACTCAAAATTTGGGCGAAAAATAACTAGGAGAAAATTCTCCATTTTTATGATTTTTTCTGTGTTTTTATGCTGTGTAGCAAGTTTGAACTGATTCCGACCCTTTACATGTACAATGTACATGTACATGCACATTCCTGTACAATAATAAATTATTCCACGTGTACATATTGTTTATGATATTTTTCTCCTTTTTCTTTTCCCTCTTTTCCAGAGCTAAAAGAATCAAAGATCGAGATGAGTGAAGAGCTAACTTCCCTTAGAGGATATTTAGAAAGACTCTTATCCACAATCATGAACAATAACCCAGAGCTATTGGAGCTGGCAAAAGAATAGCTGTAGCACATAGTGCGTGTGTGTATGTGTGTCTTCACTTTTAAAATCCTTACATGAGATCCTAGTGACTATATTAAATCATTGTTACTACATTTTGTCAATCAATTGTTTTATGACTCTTATTTATTTATTTTTTATGTAGAAAAAAATTAAAAACCATTATTCTATTTTTGTATAATTAATTTTAATGCGTGGGTGGTGTGTTTTCAGCTCCGCCTCTTATTACTGTTAAAAGTCTAAACTCTAAAGTTTGTGACTGCCAAAATGTCTGTATTCAAGTTTGCTCTTGCTGTCCTGCTTGTTTCTTCTCTCTGGCACTCCTCTCTCTCCTTAGATAATGGCGTAGCCCTAACCCCACCGAGTAAGACAAGTGTATAACCCTTCACAAGCCTACTTTAAATCTTTTAAAAAATTGTTTTCTTTTTGTTATTATACATAAAGTGGGCTGGCTGGCGTGGGAGAGATATGCATGCAATACAAACTGCAAGGATGATCCTGATAACTGTATCGGGTAAGTACAAATCTAGTACTACTACCTAAACCTTTTATTTGGTGGTGCATAGTAATTAATGGAAAATATGTTTTTAATTTGACATTTTTTGTCCTCATGCTATTAATACTAAGCATGCACATTGACGATTGGCAGTTTTTATTAGCAATTTTGATTTGAAATTGCCAAAATAAAATTCACCTAAATTAAAGCACTATACGATAGTTGCATCTCTCCACCTGTTGCACTTAACACTTACTTTACTAGTGTATCCTGCTGCTCCCTTCCTCTCACCACCAAACACTTCTGCTGCTACTATTATAATGTATATCCACTTTTCTCTTGGTGTACTTCTTACTTGCTAATGAATCTCTACTATTGATCTCTATATATTACTGATCTCTTGGTGCACTTCTTACCTCTCTACTATTGATCTGTGATCTCTATCTATTACTGATTTTTTTTCTACTTTCTTTTTTTCTAGTGAGAAGCTCTTCATGCGAATGGCTGACCATATTGCATCTGATGGTTTTAAAGATGCTGGCTATCAATACATTAACATTGATGTGAGGAGGATTAGTGAACTAGAATGTTTTAAGTACCTCAATACTGCAATCATGAATGCATTATGCAAAAAAACAAGAACAATACAGCCCAAATCTTAATCACTTGCTCTTACTCTGTGACCTTGTAGCCAATAGAGTTGGACTACTCATATTATATGCATGCCAAATCTCTCCTTACATACGAAAACTCAGCTCTGAGACCATAATATTTAGGATGGTTATTGATCTACTTGCAAGAATAAGGGCTGATTTAGTTAAAGTTAATTTTATTGCTTCTGTACGTCTTCAGGACTGCTGGGCATCAAAGGAAAGGGATTCACAAGGACGTCTTCAAGCTGACCCTGATCGCTTCCCTAGCGGTATAGCCGCACTAGCTAACTATGTAAGTATTATAATTCTCAACTCAAATGTGGTAGAGGCATGCCGTATGAAGTAATACAACTACAAATACTATTACTATTACTATTACAATGAAAGAAACCATTGGAATTACTATGACAGACAAATGTTACCTATTAAGATACATTTCTTATTATTACTAAGATGTGTGTGGGTGGGCAGGCTGATTACGGCTGTACTGTTATACTTGCAGGTACATTCCAAAGGACTAAAGTTAGGAATATATGCAGGTAAGTCATTGATGCTACTGTGCATGTATTACTAATAGCCGTACATGTTAGACTATGGCACTCATACTTGTGGTGGATATCCTGGCAGTGGACCATCGATGAAACTTGATATTGACGTAACTAAAAGCAATATATTTTTCATTTTTTAACTGTTTCTTTTTATTCTTCCCTCTCTTTACTTTTCTGTTTTACAGACATTTGCCAGTTGGGGCATTGACATGTTAAAGATGGACGGCTGCAATGCTAATATAGATGGAATGCCCCAAGGCTACAAGCAAGTCTCCGACTATCTGAATGCTACTGGACGCCACATTGTCTTTTCTTGCAGCTGGCCTGCATACTGGGTGGGATCTGGAAAAACAGTAATACTATTACAAGATAATAATTTTTATATTCTCTACTTAGGTAAATTATACTTATGCTGGTGAAACTTGTAACCTTTGGAGGAATTACCATGATATATCGGTAAGTTTTAGTCACATGACAGTCACATGACCTCATTGTGTGGCATTTATAGGATAGCTGGGATAGCGTGACATCAATTATTGATTATTATGCTAAGGAAGAGGATGATCTCATTCCAGCAGCTGGACCTGGACACTGGAATGATCCAGACATGGTAAAGAGGAGAAAGGGAGAGAGAGAAATGGAGAGGGTGATAGTGGAAAAACTTGTATTTTATAGTAAAAAAAGAAATGGCTCAAGGAGTTATTAAATTTCATTTTTAGTTGATTGTTGGAGATTTTGGTTTAAGTGTCGATGAGCAGCAGGCACAGATGGCAATTTGGTCTATTTTATCAGCTGTGAGCCAAAAATTAATTTATCATCATTATTATTATGATAATTGATCCTTAGCCTCTTCTAATGTCAAACGATTTGAGTACCATTTCAGATGAATCAAAAGCAATCCTACAAAACAGGTTAGCTTAGTTCAATCAGTATGTACTATACTAATATTATATTTTTTAGTGATGTGATATCAGTAAGTCAGGATAAACTTGGCCATCAAGGAAAAGTTGTGGCAACAGTAAGAGTTTGTTTTTTTTCTGCTACTTATTTTAAGGATTATTATATTATGTAGGTAGGTAAAGTACGTGTTTTCTCAAAGTTGCTGTCCGATAACTCAATGGCTGTTGTTTTCTTCAACTCTGGTTCATTTGCTGGCCCTCAAAATGTCACTGTTACCTTTCAGACAGTAAAATCATTCATGCAATTTGTAAATAATTTTATTTTTTTCTTCAGGTTGGCTTGAGCTCTTCAAAGGCTACCGTTAAGGATCTTTTCCAACAGAAAGATTTAGGAACATTCCAAGGTAGTTTCACAACTCCTGTTGATCCCTCCAGTGTTGTCATGGTAAAAATGACTCCTGCCTAATGTTATTACTAAAGCTATCTAATTAATTTTATATCATGTATACGTATTTTTGTATTACTATGCTGTAAATGCTGCAATTGCTACTGCTGCATTGCTCTAAATATTATGTACTCTTGCTATTAGTTTTATTATTATTTTTATTATTATTTTATTTATTACTTTTGCTATTATTTAAGTCATAAACTATTTTGATAGTCTACACCAGATTGTTGTTCTACATTCAATTATAATACAGGCAAGCACAAATTCACTAATAATTATAATTATTTAATTTGTCTCTATCGTAGGCTTCCACTTATCTCGAAGATCAGTCAGACTGTAAGTGAGTGGGCGTTTGACCCTTGACGTGATTAAATCAGTCATGTGACTGTCACATGACCACACACTCAAGTAGCCAGGGAGAGCTGGAGTTTCGCCTTTTACAAAAAAATTAAATAATTTTTTGCACTGGTTGATGCATATATATACGTACTTCTTTGGTCGATTGTGTAGTCTCCATTGGCAGCTCTTCTTATTTTTTCTTCAGTTTCTTTCCTTCTCTTCCATTCTCTGTAACCTCTTGCAGACTCTAGCTCTCTTTTGTTCCTGCTCTCTCTCTCCATTGCATCTTTCTGCCTATAAAGAAAGAATAGTACTGATGGCTTCTTCATTGCTATGCTGCTAGTCCAAAAAGCAGAGACTATAGAACTAGTTGGTTTTATTCTACCTCTTTCTTATTGCTTCTCTGTGTATTTCTTCATCCTCCAGCTCCACTTTTCTCAGCCAGGACTTGTAGGCAGCTCTTCCTTTAGCCATTCTTTCTTGGTAAGCTTTTCTTTCTCTCTCCATTTCTCTTTTCTCTGCTGCCAGAGCTTCCTACATTAGTTGAAGATATCTTTAAATGCATGCTCTCTTTTCTTACTCTGTGTTCTTTGTTTTTTCTTTCTACCCATGCTCTGAAGGCTGCTTCTTGATTGACTGTGGCCATTCTTGCTAGCTCTGCAGAACCAGCCCCACCCAGTCTTGGCGCTCGTCGTCATGGAAACCGAGCTCGGCGAGTGGGCGTATGCTGAAAAAAAGGGCGTCGAGTATTTCAAGTGCGCGTTTAGTTTCTGAGTTAAGAAAGAGCCATGCCGCTTGGAAAAAGAGAAGCAGAGCTTGCATTGGCTATACTGTGGCGTCTGAGAACAGAGCTAAGCCAGGGAGAGGAGACAGAAGACCTTCTTCCTCGAGAAGACCAAGACGCAGCCCTCTCCAAACCAATCTCCATGCTCCACTGCTATCTGACCGACATACTCCCTGCAATTAGACCCAGAGGCAGAGGAAATGATGAAGAAGCAATTCCTGACTCTAGCCTTCGTGTAGAAGTCAGCCCTGATGCAAAGATACAGCTAGTTGAGATCAATTGCAATACTACAAAAGATCCTGGCCTCTCCTTACTCAGTTATGCTACTCCTGGAGGAGAGCAGCATTACTGTGTCAGTCATGTTGTGGTTGGGACTATTTTTGGTAGAGCTGGTATCTTCAAGAGAGGCGACATCATTTTGAGCGTCAACAATCACAAGCTCTCTCGTGTGTCTCCAGAGAAAGCAAAGCAAGTTGAAATGGATATTTGTTATTATTATATAGAACCCTCTCATTGTCTATAGGTGGTTACTAAGAAGTGCTGCAAGATCAAAGAAGATATCTCTCAATGTCATCACCTGTGATGGACGCCCCATCCCATTCCCCTACATGAAAGAACAGCTCCCTCAACCTGTTCCCAAGGAGCTCACCGTACCAGTTTACTCCCACGTACATGCAGTTGTACACTCACACATGCTGACTGAGCTAGACGAGGGACGTGGTGAGGGTGCAAAGGCTGGGACTACGGTTACCCGTCGTCCCAGTTTAACTCCATCCATTGGCTCCAAAAACTCTGACCACGAGGTACTCATGAACTCTGTTGAAGTTGCAGCTTATTTCAGTCGGAGTAGCCTACGATACTCCAAAAGAAGACTCAGAGGATTGGTAAGGAATTGACTGCAAAGCCACAGCAATGCAAGATAGATAGATTATTATCCCTTCTTCTTTTTTGTCATTTTCTCTTCATTGCAGAATAAGAAGCTAAAGAAGGTCAGTATACAGAAGACTCATGGTAGTCTTGGTTTGAGACTGCTAGGTGGTAAAGGATCTAAGTATGGCGATGTAGGGATATTTGTTTGTGGAGTTGAGCCTAATGGATCAGCAGAAAAGTAACAGCAATACAAGTAGATTAATTTAAATACAGTGCACATCACAGCCTTTTAGACAGTTTTGGATTTTGATGTCAAGTTTGTGCTCAAATGCCAAATTACATTTTTTAAAGTTGCTAAAAAGTCCCTGTACTATAGTACATGATGGTCTATGGCCATATTTGATGAATTTTTAAAGTTTCATTTTAAATGTTGTTCTTTATAGTTGTGGTAATATTAAAAAAGGAGATGAGTTGATCATGATAAATGGACAAAGCATCATTGGACTATCATTGAAAGATGTTGTCCAGAGACTGGGCAACTCTCCATCGCCTGTCCACATGGTCATTGCTACTACAGTAAGCTTAAACTACAGCCTACAATGTATTATACATGTACATTCCTGCTCTCCATCCCTCATTATCCCTGCTGACACCTTTAATATTTATTTCCCTCTGTAGTTAAATGATATGGCAGCCACTTCAACTATATCCCTTGACTATGGAGCATCCGAGACAGACATCATAAACTGGCTCAACAAACGCGAGTACCTTGAAGAACCTCCAACATCATTCACTGCCTCCCCTCGTCGCAAGCAGAGAAAACATGTCCCCACTACTCTAACGCAAAAACAGGCTCACCCTCTCCAAACAATGCGTGGGCGGTACATGTCCGAGCAGGGCCCAACAGGCGAGGGTAGAAGAGAAGAAATGATAGAACTTGCAAGTTTTAGTCCTCCAGCAGACCCAAATGAAGGGAGCTCACATATTGTAACTGTGTTAGCAGAGCAGCCCATAACGCAGTGGGGAAGACTATCTGGAAAGTCTAAATCCACAGCTACAGTTGAAGGGCCTCGACAAGGAAAGGAAGTATCTATTGTCCTGATAAAATCTGGTTCCAAATCTCTTGGGTTCTCTCTATGTGGTGGTAAAGACAGCAAGAGAGGTGATATTGGTTTGTATGTCCGAGCAATACAGGAGGGAGGGGCGGCTTATAAAGATGGTCGTATGAAACCTGGAGATGAACTGATTGCTGTCAATGGAGTGAGTATGAAGGACTACACTCACAAGAGGGCAGCTCAACACATCAAAGTACGCATTGTCAATGTTGTTATTGTTGTTATTGTTATTGTTTTTGTTGTTGTTTGTAGAGCATAAAGTCAGAGCTGGTTACGTTTTATATCAGAACTGGCCCTGGGTATCTGGACATTCCTAATAAAGTGCAGCGATCTCTCTCAGTTAGAGGAACTAAATTTGAAGTGACACTAATGAAAAGTACATTATACAGTGCCCACTTTCTCTGCTTTTATCCTCTCTACTATAGAACCAGATGAAGGAATTGGTTTAGAGTTAGCAGGTCTGACTGATAACAATGATGATTATGGTATTTTCATTAATCACATTCAGCCACACTCTGCTGCTGACCAGTGCAAAGCTTTGCAGTAAGATAATGATAATTATTATAGCTATAATAGAAAATGCACTAATCCTTTCTCTCTCTCTCTCTCTCTTTGTAGTCGAGCTGATCAATTGATTGCTATCAATGGTCAGAGTCTCCTTGATAATACACTGGAAGAGGTCGAGGCAATGTTACTGTCACTGCCTCCAGGAGAAGTTCTCCTTGAAGTCATTAGGCCAGACAGCACTGAGCCATTGAATAAGCTACTGGCATCAATTGTTAATGATAGCAATGTCCCCTCTTACAGCCCAGGGTAAGGGAAAGAAGAGAAATTAAGAGAGGGATTAAGAAAGAGATTAGAAAGAAGGCAAAGAGAGAGAGAGAGAGTACATGTACATGTCTAATTCCACATATTCTATTGTAGGAGTGGAAGCTTTAGAATGAAGCAGAAGCTACAGAAGCCTCTCTATTCAAAGGCTACTACTGCTGATGGTGATGAGTATGATGATGATGATGATGATATTGAGTATCCAACTGGCATTAAGAGAGAGTCACGTCCTTCAGCACTGGACGAGGATATACTTGAACTCTTTAAACATCGTGAGGTAGAGCCAGCTCTGCCCAAAACCACTCCACCTGTAAGTATAGTAATGTACATGTACATGTACATGTACATGACTTGTACTCTATGTACAAATGTATTTTATTCGGGATATTTTATTTCTAATTATTGTATGTACATGTGCATTTCTCAAGTTTTAATTCTCACGAAATTTAAAAATGCATGTACATGTACATGTATGTATAAAATGATAATACTAGTACATGTACATGTATATGTACAATATTTTTCTTAATAGGAGGTTGAGTTTCCTGGTGTAGTCTCTGCTATACATGAGCTAACGAGAGATGCTGAGGATAAAGAGGAAGATACTCTAATAGCATCAATGACTCCTCTACTGACACGCCCATCAATTGTATCCCAATTAACGCCCGACACATCTCCAAGAGGTTCTCAAACTGACTTTGAGTTGACGTCTCTTAAAAAATACGAACGACCTCGCTCCGGCCTCCTCATGGCGTCAAGAACAGACTCGCATGAAGAAACAGCGTTTAATGAAGCCCCACCTACTTTGCCAAAAACCACACCCACTTATACTGAAGCTGAACCTATGTTGTCTGAAACTGCTCCTTTTGTAGAGGGTGAGGTACCATTAGGTCCGCCCCCACCTGTCCCAGATCAAAGGGGTTCTCCCCACGTCCTCCCATTAGGATTCATTGAGATGACTCTAACTGTGAAGAAACAAGTAAAGAGGGACATTGGCCTCACGCTTGTACGTAGTGGCGGAATAACCAGTGGATACCCACTGGTCAAACGGGTTTTACTTGCTGGTGTAGCTCACAAGTCTGGCATTAAACGTGGGGACCGTCTGGTTTCTATTGATGACCAGTTAGTACAGGGGCTTACCCCTGATCAGATAATGCCTCTGTTTTCTGAAGCCCCTAAAGAGTTTCCAGTAGTCCTGTGGCGTCAACCGGCATCAGATACTGATGGAGGGGACACTCCTTCCAGTGTGTACTCTGGTAGTGTGTTGACTGAGTCATCAGGGAGACAGAGACGATCTGATTCAACGTCATCTCTTGGATCAACAAGTACGTAGTATTATTATTGTTTATTATTTTGTTTATTATTATTGTTTGTTATTTTGTTTATTATTGTTTATTATTTTGTTTATTATTATTGTTTATTATTTTGTTTATTATTGTTTATTATTTTGTTTATTATTATTGTTTATTATTTTGTTTAATGTACATTCTCTCAGTTAAAGGTATGTCTGATCTTGCTGGAACTGATTGGGGTACAACCAGTGGAGACGAAAGAACTGACAACGAGAGAGTACCTTCACCACTTTCTTATTTCAATGAAGTAACTCCTTCCCTTCCAACTGAAGCCCCTCCCCTTCCGCCAACTGAAGCTCCACCTCCTCTACCAACTGAAGCTCCTCCCCTTCCATTAACTAAAACTCCACCTCCTTCACCAACTGAAGCCCCTCCCCTTCCACCAACTGAAGCTCCACCTCCTCTACCAACTGAAGCTCCACCTCCTTTACCAACTGAAGCTCCTCCTCTTCCACCAATTGAAGCTCCACCTCCTTTACCAACTGAAGCCCCTCCCCTTTCACCAACTGAAGCCCCTCCCCTTCCACCAACTGAAGCTCCACCTCCTCTACCAACTGAAGCTCCACCTCCTTTACCAACTGAAGTTCCACCTCCTTTACCAACTGAAGCTCCTCCCCCTCTACCAACTGAAGCTCCTCCCCTTCCACCAACTGAAGCCCCTCCAAGTAAAACTCCACCTCCTTCACCAACTGAAGCCCCTCCCCTTCCGCCAACTAAAACTCCACCTCCTTCACCAACTCAAGCCCCTCCCCTTCCACCAGCTGAAGCTCCTCCTCCTCCTAAAGGTTCTCCCATTGTTGTAGGTTCTTTATTAAAAGCTGACACTAAGAGACGTGGCTCTCCATTACTGCACAGTAAACAAGCCCCGCCTACTCCAGTACCTTATGCATCACCAAAAAGAACAAGGTAGAAAAATTATAAAATAATACCTACATGTGTACGTGTATGCATCAACTTAATACTTTATTATTTTTTTAGATTATTACCATCAGATAAACGTTCGGAGACTGGTCCCTTTAAGGTTGAGGTTACTAAGAGTGGTTTCAAAGGAATAGGACTCAATGTCCACATGGACAGCACATGTGGACAGATTGCAGTCAAAAGTATATCATCCAGGAGTGTACTGGCAAAGGACGGGAACTTGAGGTACAGTAATTGCACTTGACTCTAAAACTGATAATACATATTGATGTCCTTATACTGTGTAGAAAGTTTGAGCTGATTCCAACAAATGTTTTTCAAGTTATGAGCATTTTTAAAAATCAGCCAATTTTTTAAAAAAAGCAAAGGCTATACCCATGGTTTTTTCAAAAAATGGCTCCGAAAACACCCCAAATTTTTATTACATTTTCTGATGCGTATTGATGTCCTTATGCTGTGTAGAAAGTTTGAGCTGATTCCGACAAATATTTTCCAAGTTATGAGCATTTTTAAAAATCAGCCAATTTTTGAAAAAAAGCAAAGGCTATAGCCTTTGGTTTTTTTCAAAAATTGGCTCCGAAATCACCCCCAATTTTTATTACATTTTCTGATACATATTGATGTCCTTATGCTGTGTAGAAAGTTTGAGCTGATTCCGACAAATATTTTCCAAGTTATGAGCATTTTTAAAAATCAGCCAATTTTTGAAAAAAAGCAAAGGCTATAGCCTTTGGTTTTTTTCAAAAATTGGCTCCGAAATCACCCCCAATTTTTATTACATTTTCTGATACCTATTGATGTCCTTATGCTGTGTAGAAACTTTGAGCTGATTCCGACAAATATTTTTTGAGTTATGAGCATTCAAATTTTAAATGATGTCTATAAAGTTTGGGGTGATTTTTAAACAGCATGGTTTTAAATAAGATGCAGCTGCTAGGATTACCTTCCTTGTCCGTTAAATTGATTGCTTTTAAATGAAAAGCAAGAACTCCTGACTAAAAGGAGACATAATATACAGTCATTGAAACGCTGATGCTTTTACTTACAACAAAACCAGATCCCACATCCATCAATTGTATCTTAAATTAACACGCACGTGAAAACACGTGGATTGAGTATACGGACAAATTACTAGAAAGTAAGCATAGTATACTAGAACAAGATGTCTCATTGCTTAATTTCTTCTTTGACATAAAACAAAATTATCATAATTTAATATGATAGATCTATCTAGTCAGACCCAGTCATTGCAGCTTTCAGCTTTTGCCTTTTTAATTTCTTTTGCGAGACCTTCTTCTTTTTCGTTTCCTCTTCCTCTGGCTTGGGTACAGGCTGATCCTTCTCGGTAAGAATCATCTCAATATGACAAGGAGAACTCATGTAAGCTGCAAAAATAATAATAAAAAAAACAACTAATAAATACTCTTTTGCTTGTTGATAAAACAAAAACTGCAATGGAGAAGTAAGAAAATTTTTATCTTATTTATGCATTCATGAAAAAAGGCTATAGGAGAGAAATTATTTCTGATGCATGTAGTACATGTTCTTATGCTATACTGGAGACGACTCTGTATATTTTAATTCGAATTAAGTGTGAGGGAGAGTCTTACGGTTGATGCGTCCATGAGCACGATAAGTACGTCTCCTCATCTTAGCTGCTCTCTGTACTGATATGTGTTCAACCACCAGTGAGTCAGTATTGAGCATCTTCACTTCAGCATTGCTCTCGGCATTCTTCAACAGCTGGAGAAGAATGTCAGCACTCTTCCTTGGCCAGCGTCCCTGAGACCATTTGTGGGCCTTACACTGGAGGAAAAATAATAGAATAATAATAAGTCATTCAAAAATGCATCTAGCCACTGGTTTAATTCTAACAAAGCATGCTAAGTGAGATAAATGGCATCCAAGGCTTTTGCAACTTAAAAAAATTTTTTTTAGCAAATCCATTTTTGATCAGCACAATTGATATGCATCAGAAAAAATATAAAAATGGAATTCTCTCCTGGACATTTTTGATAAATGATCTGTACTATTAAAAAAATTAAAAAGTGCTTTGCAGCTTTAAAAAATTCATTAAAAAATGTACTGACAAGAAGCTGAGTATTATGTCAGAATCCTGCACTACATTCTCACCTGCGCTTTGCGCCCCACCCCACCATTGAATCGTCTGAAAGGTACAATCTGCTTCTGATTAATGACATCCTTCAAGTAACGGATTGCTTTCCTTATATTCATGTTCTTGATAGCCTGAGCCGTCTCACGAGTATTCTATTTAAGAAAAAACATAAACACACTATCTATGCTCCCTTACCTTAAAATGTACTCTGAGATCAAACCCTCTAGACTTACATGCTATTTAAAATAAATACATATATGTATTCATCAATGAATGATCATTTACTCACACTTTGTGGAATTTTCTGGTTCCCTAGAGTATCTTACCATCTTGCTATCCTACAATACGTGTCTCCCCTCCTCTGCTCTTTTACTGTGGTGGCCTAAGTGAATGGATGCTTAACGATTGCTCTCTCTCTTACTCTCTTACCTTCTATCAACGTGTCCACCATGTACAAAAGGAGGCGTGGTATGTGAGTGGGCCAGGCATGCGCAGTAGGATTGCCCACGTGCTCACTTGAGGAAAGAAAGATGTTTTGGGGTAAGCCTTTCCCCCTCTTCCTCTTTCCCTTTTCTTTTTTATCTTCCATTAATACCATAGTTTACATAATTTTTATTTAATTTCAAGTGTTTTTCTCCCCTCATTTTTTAAATAGGTCTCAAGTTAACGAGTGGCAAGAAATACAAGAGTATAGTGGAACAATCCTTCCATGTCTCTCATGCTGTGCTACAACTCTCGAACGATATCCCTCCAGACTTTGGCCTTGAGGTTCATGTCATCCTACACAATATTGACTACATTGTTTGCTTCCTTTCACGCTCCGCCCCTCAAACTCCACTGAACTTAGAAATATCAGAAGGCGAGGAGATGACCGTGTATGCCTGCCTGAATACGTCTACTCCTTACTCTGAGAGAGTCAGTGTTCATTTAACTGGTTATTACTGTCTGGAGCAGTCGCAGGATGACGAGAGTTTCTGTGGAGAAGAAGAGGATGAGCTCATTTCCGAAGAGGAATCTTCTGAAGAGGAGGGAGAGTTTTCAAAAGAGGATTTTGGAGAAGTGAGTCTAATTAGAGTACACTTGTAAACAACTCGAACAAGGCGTTTCTATTTTTTTTATGTTTATTTATTCCAAATGGGCAAAGCCATTACTGATAATCTGTTTGCGCTCTGTACCTCTGTGTGTGGCAAGGGGGCGAGCCATTTTTGTTTTACATTTTTTAAAATTTAAGATTAACGTATTTGTTTATTAATACATGATTAGTAATATGACTGTAATAATTATAAATCATTTAATTTTATTTGATTGTAGGATATTAGTGATGGCCTGTTTCATAGCTTACCAAGTGAAGACGATGATGACGATGATTTCCCTTCATTACATCATTTATCCTCAATCACTGAAGTAACTGGCGACGATGATAATGCAAGCTATGACGATTTTGATTACCCTTCGATACAACATTTATCAAGAGCCTCAATCACTGAAGTAACGGACCAAGACAATAGTGAAAGTCATGAGGTAATCAATGTATGTGTATTATGCATGCAACAATTTTATGCAAAAATGGCAGCTTTATTTTACATTTAGGCATAACATATTCCGTCATCATTTAATCTAATTTATTTTGTGTTTATTGTTGTGTCGCAAAATATGTTTTTGTTATTAAGGATTGGCTTTTCTTCTTGTGTGTGTGTGTGTGTGTGTGTGTGTGTGTGTGTGTGTTCACTAGAAGTTTGGGGCAAGGAATTCACTGATTATTATTGATTGTGGTTGGTTTGGGTTACTCCTGACCCTCATATATGGAGATTGAGCCTAGCAACAGTACAGCACCACCTGACAATATCGACTTGTTTATTTAGACTGTGGTCAGAATCCCTTAATATATGAAATCATAATAACTTGTAATCTCATTTATAGTACTAGCCACACTATGACTGTCTATCACACATACTCAGTCATAGTAGCATAGCATGTATGACCATTCTCTTGTACTCCATTATATTGCTGGTAATTAGCTCTGTATAATAGCACTTGTGTATATAGTAGATTAGTAGTACTACATGTGTACATGTAAGTTCTGAAAGTTTTTTATGCATACATTCTATTGTGTGATTCTGTAATCTGCTTTGTGTGATTGTGTGTGTGTGTGTATCTTGAATTGTGGTGTCAATATCTTTGATCATCAAACCACATTTCATATACAAGGGAACCACAAATTCTATTAATTCTTTATTTGTTGTTTTGTTGCTATTATTATAACATGAATAGGCTCAGAACAGGGTTTCCCACAAGGCATTGTGAGTGAAGCTATAAACAGCATGAGCTTCATTAGCTGACAAGCAGCTGCAATAGTGCATGGCTTTGTAGAAGTTTAAAAATTGTAGGAAAATTCAATTTTAATCGGAAGCATCTCAAACTTGCTGCACAACATAAAAACATGTATATGTATCAAAAAAATTATTAAAATTAAGAATTCTATCATTTTCATTTTTTTTACAAAATTTGGCCAATGACCAAAGGCTATAGCCTTTGGCATTTGGTCAAATTTTGGAAGAACTTGAAAAATTTATAAAAAATCTAATTTTGATTGGAATTGGCTCAAACTTTTTGCACAGCATTAGAACATGTATATCTATCAGAAAAAAAATTGTTAAACTCGGTAAATTTTTTGGAGCTATTTTTGACGAAATACCCTCTATTATAGCCCATGGTTTTTGTGGGAAACTTCTAATTCAGAATATCATGCATTAGAAATCTAAAGTATGTAGGCAATGGCACTCATTTCTGCCAAGTTTATTCCTCAAAATTTTTATTTGCTTTGATGTTTATTGCTTTTGATATTAGGCTGATCCTCCTCACTCTGCCTCCCTCTCCAGAAAAAGAAAGAAAACCAGGAAACAAGACAAAGAGGCCGGGAAGTTGAAAAAGAAGAAGACGATAGAACCAGCCACCGAAGAGGGAGAGACAGAAGAAGGGGAGGAAGATGTGGAAATACGCAAAACAAAACAAAAGTCAAAAAATAAAAAGAGAAAGAAGAAAACTGTAGCAGAACCAGTACAAGAGGATGAAGAGGTTTTTTAATTAAGTGTGTGGGTGTGATTATTTTTTTACATGCAGGACTCCAGTGTTAATGTTACTGCTACTAGTTCCTCGGTTTCTTCAGCTCCAGTTTCTTCATCTTCAGTTGACAGAGACAGTTCTGTGTCATTGGAAAGTTCTGTAGCACTTAATGCCTCAAGCGGATCAGTGAAGCAAAGTGTAAGAACTAAGAAATCCTATTTGGTCAATTTTTTGTGTACAATTGTTTTTATGCAAGTTCTTTATGATTTGGGATAAATTTGAGCCAATTTCATTTGCCAGTTCTTAAATTATGAACTTTAAAGCCATGATTTTATTAGAAAAAGATTCTCTTGTGTTTTTTTGTTGCTAATTTTAGAATTTTAAGAAGACATTCAGTTGTGGAGTTGAAATGACAGAATTGAAATATGGCACAGGAAAAATACCCAAACAAGGCTCACTGGTAATAATGCGTAATTTGTGCTTTTTTTATTGTGCTTTGCAGAAAACTAAATCCAGATTTCTAAATTGTTTTTGTATAATAATAATAATAAATTTTATGTATAGGTCACCATTATTTATTCTTCGTCTTACAAAAGTCCTGGGGAAGAGGTTTTTCAAGAGTTTGATAAAGACACTAGACTCTGCTTCAGATTAGGTAGAGGTGAATGCATGCCTGGACTAGAAAAAGGAATGAAAGGTGAACACAAACCTTTTTGCCAATTCTCATAATTTCTTTCTCTCCCTTTCTTGCTCTGTCTCTTGTTTTGTCATCAATTTTATTTTTTCTTTTTACTTAATAAATTTTATGTAATTCAAAGGTATGAAGCCTGGTGGATCCAGACGGATTATCATACCACCATCACAAAGGTGATCAAAATAATGATAAATATGTTTATGTACTTTTCACATATACATGTATTTCCTTTTAACATGATGGCTTTATGCTCCATGCTAACTAGTTGTAAATTGATTGACTTTTGCTCATTTTTGTATATTAAAGTTATTTTTCCCCAACAGACGGAAAGGAGATGTCCCAGAGAGCATACCTCATGATTGCGATGTTCGGATTTTCGTGAAGCTCCTCAACGTTAAATGAGAAAATAATAGATAACCTAATCAATGTATTATATATAATATTACTTTTATTAACTACTAATTATTGTGTCATTATGGTCATTCATTGAATACATCAAGAAAGAGCTTGTAAAAAGCTCAATTTGCATTAGACGTACCTGTTTGACAGCTTTCTTTCCAAACTGCAGCTATAATATGCTATTTACTACGAAGCAGTCCTTCTAGCCTGGCACCAGCTATGGTGTAATGATATTATTATACAAATTGAGTGGTTTTTCATTCAAACATCTGTGCGTATGCAATCCTGTGTCAATTAGTGACACTGCCCCACATGTACCAGGTGCAGTCTGTCTCTTGTGTTATTGTTTACTTGACCTGAACTGTGTGGCTGGACTGTGTTCCATTGATAAAGTACAGTACACAGACTATGATGATGATGCAACTCATGTAATGATGACACTGATTAGTATTGTATTGTGGTCCATTTAATGCATGATGAAATCTGACAGTATTAATACGGTTATACCTGTATTGTGTATGAGCGCATATATGGATTATTAGTATTGTGTGATAGTTTGGTCTGTTATGTCTATCTTAAATTATTATCCAGGAATCACAGATATAATGCAGAGGCCATTACATGCACATGTATTACCTATTAGACCTTATCCTACACAAGTAATGTATAATCATGTATTAACTATTAGCATTATTATATGTATTTAATGTATTTATATGGAATATTTGTAAATTGCCGTCACATCCTTATTTGTAATGGTGGTAATTTTTGGTGCCATGTTACGATTCAAGAAGCCACTGCTTATCATTTAAAGTGTAAAGAAGTCCTGAATGTTTATAGGGGAGTCTTCCAATAAGAGCCTCTATTGAAGCTCCACTCATTTATTAAGGTAAATCAACTATCGCTTATCAGCAACTGCTCTGCTAATCTCTTCCTCTAGGTCTTCAAGGCTTCTCCTCCCGTTTAGCAGTGTCACTATGAGGAGTTTTAAGATGTGCAGGTGGTGCTAGTTGGTGGTAATTACCTGATGTACTGTACGAGCTCACTTTTGATTCCATTTCTAAATACATTGGCCATACGTGCCCGTCAAAGAATTTAACCGTATCGTGGTCATAGGTACGTGCACTATAATAAATAGATAAATATATAAATAAGTATTAATAAAATAATAATGATAATAATAATAAGTAATACATACAAGTACTACAACATGTATAATGTATGTGTCATCATTGTGTTAACCATTAACATTATGTATTGCGTTCTACTAAATCACATGCATGCATGATATGTGTACAATTATTAAGTAGTGAATTACCTTTTCATTCATTGTGTACATTAAGAAAACACATTCAACTCAGTTATCATCATTTACCTTCTTCTGGCCTTGGATGTCTCATAGTCCAACGTCAAGAAAAACGACAGGTCAAATAAATCCAACATTTCTCTGTGGGTAGAAAAATAAAAAATAAAAAAGAGAAATTCGATAATAATGATACAATAAGATAATCCTTAATCAATGTCATCACTGAAAGGGATGGCCAGTTCACACTTTGTAGGTGGATAGCTATGACTAGAGGAGAGGTCATGAACTTATAAATAGTTTAATCACAAAAGCATTCACAGTCCAGTACATCAGAGTAAACTCTCCTTTGACGTAGTGTTGCTATAGTGCATCTATGTATACACATGTCATTCAGAATAGGCAAGACTTGTTCTCACCATCCAATATTGTACCAGTTTCCACTACAACAAGGGAAAGACTATGCAAAGGAAGTAACAGCTGAGTTGTGTGAGGGCACATATCATTTCAGGACATCTGTGCTCACCTTATAGCACTGGGGCTTCATTTTAAGATCATCTCAACTTGAGGAAGTTCCTTTTGAGATCTTAATATATGGGCTATAGCTATACGTGAAACTGCATGCACTGATATCAGGCTTCTATTTTTAGGGGTTTATGAGAGTTGAAATCATAAAATGAGAAGAACTCAGTGATGATGCAAATCCTGTACTTATACAGCATATAATGTGCTTGGGTATTTGATCATTGCATCAGTTCTGTAACTATAGCTGGTTTTAGGTTATAAGAATGGAAGTATGCATGACACTCTGCTATTATACTCATGGCTTCAGTTTACTGGTGATGTTACAATAGCAAGGAAGGAGCATCATCATTAACTTGTATCCTGATCAAATTGGACCACTATATATGTAGCAGCTGCCACGAACAGATGTGTTTTCTTTATTTCCCTTCCTCTCTTAGTTTTCAGCCCTTTCTCTCTCTCTCTCTCTTTCTGCTTTTAGCTTTCTTCTCTTTATTTCTCTCTCTCTCTCTCTCTCTCTCTCTCTCTCTCTCTCTCTCTCTCTCTCTCTCTCTCTCTCTCTCTCTCTCTCTCTCTCTCTCTCTCTCTCTCTCTCTCTCTCTCTCTCCCTCCCTCCCTCCCTCCCTCTCTGTAGGCTCTCTCTCTCTTTATTTTCTCTCTTCTCCTCTATCTTTACCTTGAGTATAAAACCATAGTTCCCTCTACAATAACATAATGCAGTAGCTGCTCTGTGGGTCTACTCTCCTCCCCCTTCATTTCTTGACATACAGGGCACGATTCTAAATATGGCTGGCTTGATATCCTTGCCACATGACCTGATAGTTTACTCCACTGAATAGCAATAGGATCTGCAATGATAATAATAATAATGTAAATATTATGCGTATGTTATAATAAATAATATGTGATATGATCATGAATGAATGGATATTTGATGTTAAACATGTCCATACATGTATTGCTATGCGTATACAGCCTCATGCACCCCCAACAGATGAAACTGTTTAGTCTTGTGTTTTTGTTTGTGTGCAGTACAAACACATAGTCCTATGATTCAGGATTCATAGTTCTAACATGAATATTTTTGAATTTGTTTGGAATCAGGTTTTTGGTTAGTTACAGAACTGAAACTATAATTCGAAAATCAATCCCCCATTAGAGTATGGGCTTGTGTTTATCTAAAACGTTAAAGTGAAAGCCCTGTTTGCATTTGAATTAGCAATAGAGTGACAGGTGCTTTCAGTATGCTCATTTAGCTTTATAGTTTGAGGCAGTTAAAAATGCAAGGCTGGGTATTCTAAACAATGGTATGTCAACTGAAACATGCAATATTGTTATCATATGAGATTACTATTGGGAAAGACAGGGTCTGGGTTTTCTATTGGTTACATCAAGCAGGTGCACCAAATGCATAAACCACAATTTGGTTATGTTTGTGTGTTTTCTGGGAGGAAGCAAGTCCCACCAGCTGACTGGATGAGCAGTTTCATAATAACGAAATTGCCCAATATAGTGACATATATACTATGATATCATTTACTAACAAAATTGTAGTCATGTCATCATTATTGATATATCAGCTAGCGTACATGTACATTATTCATATTGTAAATATGCATTTATAAGACTTACCATCCCATTTATCAGTAGTATCATTGAATGAAGGGATTTCTGATGGTTCCTAAGACATGTAAACAATGCAATGAGATCACGCTGGCTCACAATTGACTATTCTAAGTATAAATGTTTGAGTGGGTGGTGTACCCATTATGCTGTTATGATGAATGGTAATTCGATTGTGCTGTAGTATTTGTATGTAACTGTAGTGAGAGAGAGGCCAAATTTTCTAAATTACATAACAAGAAATAATGAAACACAATATGTATTTACTACATAATAATTATGCCGACTAATGTAAGTCAATGCATGAAAGCGCATGCATGAATGATGCAATACTGTCACTATTTTTAGTATCTAAATTATTCACTTTGTAATAGTCGTCTTGATGAAGAACAGAGCAATGGCGTAAACGAGCCCGTAGTCGCTGAGCTAGTGTAGTCTTTCCACTGCAAGTTGCTCTAAAGAAATCACAGTAAACATTTTCTTAACAATGGTATAATGCCCTAGACATTGGATTCTGCCGATTTGCTCAGCGGCTGTGAAATAATTAGGATCTTAATATTACTCTTAATAATAAGTTTAGTCTTGATAAACATTATCTAATGGTAGAACAATATATCGTTTAGTTCAGTAGTCAAAACTACCCGCTGTTAATGTATTAATAGTAGTAATGCCTCTGGGCTATGTTTACTAGAAAAGCGTTTGATTTATCTCTAAAATGATCTTGTCCTACATAACCTTGATTAGCTCAGATTTGCACACAGATTCATGTTAACATAGTTAACCACGGGACCAGCAACCACAAACAAAACCATAATTAATATTGGGAAAAGTCCCAAAACGAACGCTACTTTAAAATTGGCGTGCTGCATTTAAATTTAAAATTAGCATGTTTATGTGTGTATGACTAACCCAGCTATAGCTATTATTTTGTATTTTTGACTCATTGGCAAAATCTCAAGGGATGCTTCAATGGTCCCCCACAGTATCAACTATCAGTTGACTCTCACTGGATCTCAATGTGCTTGCTTTTGAGTGGTGCTTCAGTATTCATGTGTTGGGGGTTGTGAACTGTTATGAGTCTGACAAAACAGTAACACGAGAAAGTGATGGATAATTTAAAAGCACACAAACAGAATTATTACCTCACCTGTGGGCGGAGGGGAATGAATATAGATATAGCTAGACTGTCTGTAACAGTAATACGTGGCAAGGCTGACTGTAGCTAGATTTGATTTATGTATACGTACATTGCTGCTGACATGACGTAGGCAGTAGGCATTGGATGACGTGTATGCTTACTTTGCAAGCTTAGCTTTGCTATAAAAAAGAATTCAAGAAGCAGGACTGGCCATTCGTTTGCATTCTGGAAGATTCTTCCACGTCAGCTCTGATAAGTACAGGGATCGTACAAAAGAGAGAAAGGTTTATAGATCTTGCTGTGTGGAATAGCTGTGCATCGAGTACTCACTGAATTTAGCAACCGTTAGAAGAAGAAATGGCCACAGTAGACATTCTCGTTCCTTCACCGCTCTCTTTCAGCGGATCATGCTCCGACTCCAAAGCTGCTGCACTCTACCAGTTGTACTCCAACGGGGAGAGGCCAGTAAGCGAGGACGACGGTGGATACAGCTCTCCTGAAGAGACGCCCCGGGATACTTCTCCAGCAGCAAACACGAGCGGAGACGAACAGCCTCTCCAGCACAACACTGAAGAAAAAGCTGCCGAGCCTGAGAGCGAAGACGAAGAGTCTTTAATGGAGAGAGCAAGGAAGCAAGTAGAATGGTACTTCAGTGATGAGAACTTGCAGAAGGACTCCTTCCTCATGAAGCACATCACCAGGAACAAGCAAGGCTATGTGAGCCTCAAGTTGGTGGCTTCTTTACGCAAAGTAAAGAGCATCACCAAGGATTGGAAGATTGTCCTAACTGCAGTTCAATCATCAACACTACTACAGGTAAATGAAGAGGGCACTAAGGTACGTCGACTTGAAGCAGCTCCAAAAGTTGACTATTCACATCTACCAAAAACCCTCCTCATCACTAATTATCCAACTCAGGATCCAGATGAGTCTGATGTCAGACATGAGTTCAGTCGTTATGGGAATGTCAAGAATGTGACCTTCATGCGACCAGGAAGAGCAATACCTTTGGATGTAAAGTCTTGTCGATCAAAGTTCCCCGCTATTGGCAAAGAGCCTTGTATTTTGGTCGAATACGCTAGCATCTCGGAGGCTAAGAAAGCATTTAAAGAGCTTTCACAAAACTGGCGCCAAACAATGTCCGTTCAAATCCTCTCACCACCTGCTGATACTGAAACTAAAGGATCCAATTTGGAGTTGAAAAAGCATCAGAAAACGACCGAGTCTTCCGGTAATAATTTGAATAAGGTTTCACCTATTGTAAGGAAGCAAGGACCAAGGAGCAGTCGTGTGTCATCAGGTTATGACTCTGGCTACACTGCCAACAGTCGTTCGCCTAGTCTGAGCCCCATGCCTAGCCCGGCTCCTTCTAGAAAGTTCTTTTCTGATTCCTCAAACTCATCTGTCTCGCCAAAATCAAGATTATCATTACTAAGAGAGAATACCAGTATTGCAGTTACTGTAGTGAGACTGCCTTATGGACCTGATGGGACAGGAGGTTTTCACTAACTCATGAATCAAGAACATTAATACTCACACACACACGCATGCATATACCACTGCATATACTGGATTTTAACATCATTGTAATCTCTTATCATATGATATACCTATGTACTTTATAGTATTCCAAATCACTCTATTATTACATGTATTATGATTGATGCTGTATAAACTTTTTCTTTTGTTTCTCAAAAATAATGATAACTAATTATTATATCAAAGAGCTGAACATCAGGCTGAAATTTGGCAAGGAAGGAAAGGCGGGTGGACAAATAAAGCCATTTTAGTCTTTTTCTCTTCTTTTGAATGTGAACTGTGTGGGTGTTTTGGACTGATAATCGCATGTTTCCTTGTTTGGTCTATAAACTCATGTGAACATTACACTAGACCATTGGAATGCTTATTTTGCAATTTTGCTAAGTTGGCCCCATTAGCTCATAATGACGTAACCCACGTGGTTGAACATCTACCGCATCTCCTCTTATATTTAAAAATTCTATTTTAGCGAATGTGATAAGAAAGAAATCCGTTACTTTAATGTCTCATCATTCATGGAGAGAGAGTTGCCACAGAAAGTTACAATAACAGGTAAAGTGAAAGTAAAAGGAAGGAAGGGAGGCAGGAATTTACTGTATACTAACTCCCCCCATTAGTGATAAGCGGACGGCAGCTGCAGGGAAGGAGAAAGGGAGGTGAGAGAGGGTAGGGACTTATTCTAAAGCTTGGTCATCTTTTTAGAGCCTATACGTGCGTCTGTTGTGTTTGGACTGGGAAAGGAGCTGTTTCAGACTGAGGAGGTAGAGTCTACCGAGCCCTTCTGGAATCAAGAAGCTCATGTGTAAGTGTAAATAGCTCAGCAACTTGCTAAAATAATAAAAATACACTAATAGTGATAACAAAACTTCATATTTGTAATATTTTTTGACTTTTGGGAAATTTGAGCAAAAGACTGGGGCATCATAATCTTTGCAGAGTGCTTTGACAAAGCATTTTTGAATCGGATTTAGTAATGATTAATTTTTAATAATTATTCATTGAGAATAACTATTACTTTTTCTAACTACACCTACATTTACATGTAGTTTTTCGTCAGAAAACTCCACCATTATATTTTTAAAAGCTTGAGCTTTTGTCCTTGGGGAAATGAGAGCATTCGAAACTTAATTTAGTAATACCCAATAGACAATATACATGTAGGGATCATTAATTAAGTTGTAACAACCAACTCCTCCTACACACACACATTTATACATGATGTATCCAAGTAATGATCACTATCATCTATACTATTCTTATGATTTCATTCTCTCTCAGACTTTGTTTATACAAATTGCAACTATATGTACATTGTAATTCCTTTTATCATCTCAAATCAAGCATGTACAATACATCCACATGTAATGGGATCACTCTCCATTATGTCATTGGAATGTGTTTTAGCTCAGCCATGATAATGTGCTTCCTATCATCATTATCATATATTTCCTGCTTTTGGTCCCATTCTCTACTCCTTTCCTTTATAGTTTCTGGAATTTGGTTCCATTCCATGAAATTCATTGTTTTTGTTTTTTGTTTTGTAACTGAAAACCAAATATGTACTTGTAATCATGTACAAGTACAAGTATTGCCGTTATTTCTCTGAAATTATCTTTTCTTTCCCCTTTCTAACATATTCTACATGTACATGTACATATGTTAGTTTTTCCCCTTTCCTTCTTCCTCTCTTTCTCCCTCCCCCTCTCTCCTTTCTCTTTATGAATTCTTTCTTTCTTGTGCTTTTTTTTCTCTCTCTCCCCCCCCCTCTCTCTCTCTCTCTCTCTCTCCTCCAGTAATGTATCAGGAAAACTAACTGACTCCCTCAAGTTTAAACTAAAGGATCAGGGGCACACCATTGGTATCATCAGTGTCCCCATCTCCTCTCTAACAAGACGGAAACACGACCAATGGATTCCTTTCCAACCCTACAAGAAAGACAGGAGCTATCATGGCGACCTCTGCCTCAGCTGTTATGTGTCTGAAGTACGGATTGCCTCTGACCTCTCACCGACTAATTCTCACAGCTCAAGCGAAGATGTTTCGGGCAGTGGAAAGAAGAGTGGTGGGATTGGGGCTCACTTTGAGAAATGGAGTCCGCTCGGTGGGAAGTTAGGGATAGGGAACAACAGGCTCTCGTCTTCCTCTGATTCTGACATTAGGAAGGATCTATCTGGAGGGGGTCATCTCTCACCCATTGATGATGAAAGAATGAGTTCACCACTAGGTAGTAAGTTTTCTCCCCCCCTCTTTCTCTGTCCTTCTCTTCCCCCTCTCTTTCCCCTTCTTATTTTCTGCATGCCCCCTCTCTCTCTCTCTCACTCCCTCTCTCTCTCCCTCTCTCTCTCTCCCTCTCTCTCTCCCTCTCTCTCTCCCTCTCTCTCTCTCTCTCACTCCCTCTCTCACTCCCTCTCTCTCCCTCTCTCTCACTCCCTCTCTCTCTCACACTCCTTTGTGGTTTATTTCTTTTCATAACTTTCATTTTCCTCTCATTGTTCCTATTTTCCACATCCTCCCTCCCTTTCCCCACAGACTAAGTTAGTGTTTGTATATCCATGATCAGTCCCACTTGTGGTGTTGACATTGTGTATGTGTGGCTGTTTACTATCACTTGTGGGCGCCATACATACATGTACATGCACTAATGCACTGTACATTACATTGATTATCATAATATGCTTGCATAGCTCATAGATAAAAAATATTATACATCTAAGTACATATACCACACATGGTGTGGGTGGGTATATATTTGTTCATGTACATGTAACCCACTTGTTTTCACATGCATGTCTGTCCTATTAAAGCCTAATACAAAATTTACAATGCTCTGAAGCTACAGTGGTAACACAATCAGCACTTGATAAAATCACCAGAACATGACCTAATGCATGTACATGTACATGTATTTTTAAGATAAGCTTTTGTTACACTGTAATTATGTGAGTGGTTGTTTATGCTTGCAGATGATGATGACTCCCAGTTACCTGATGTTAGTGGCATATCTCCCAGTGAAGGCTCAACCCATGGTAATGAGAGGATCGTCTTGCGGGGGACTAACCTTGGAGAGAGCAGGAGTGACATTGTTAAAGTCCTGCTAGTCGATGTGGACTGTACTAAAACAGTGGAATACTTCTCATCAGGTCAGCATGGCAATTATTATATTGTGAATTGAGCACAATTGTAATGTGCAAGTGGTTGTAATTGGAATACATGTAAGACTAGGAAAATTATGATGATTATTATTATGACCTAGTTTGTATTACTGTAGATGTATAGTTGATCCAATTTCACTGCTGGTAAGCATAGATAATTCTATTTTGTACTGTATATGATATTATTGTGTAACAAAATATATCAAATAATCATAGATTAAGTCTGTAGTCTTGTGGATAGAAAATACAATTACTTGATGATACTTCTGATAATGGTCACTGTTTCCTTGTTCAGTGTATGAACTTAAGGATAGTCTTTCACTCATTGAGAGTCCTTTGAAGTGATGGCTCTGTTATCAAAGGGCTACACGCCCTCTCCACTTCCTTTTTCATGGACTTTACACCAACTAGACCATACACCAATACTAGTCATAATGATAATATGATTATGGTTCAAAGTAATGTACATGTTCATGTACTGTCGTCGGCAAGTTCAAAACAAGTTGTATAGACTTTGTGGAAGGATCTACTGTCATTATAACCTTACTTTTATGTGTTGGTATATGGTTAAGGTTATTTTTAACTACCTGTAATTGTGGAGTGTGTGTGTGTGTTTGTGTGTGTGGTAGTGAGTGCACTGTACATGTACATGTGTACATGTATTCATGTGGGAATAGTTTGACAGAGATTCACTTTTAAATGACATAATTATTATTCAAAGTGTATGTGTTTTTATGTTCTGATGATGTTAGCAATATCATTTATTGTTACTACTATTGAGTAGATGAGTGAATATACTTTCTCAGCTCTTAATGTTTGCCTTGTCAGCTGTAAACACATAGTGTAGCTGTCAGCATGTTGTGAAATATTCACCAGCTCAGCTTTTTGCACGCTTGAACATGTACAGCGTATACAGCTTGCAGTGCAGCAGTCCAGCTTTATAAATGTACATGTATTGCATGTACATGTACATGTACACGTACATACATGCATTATCTTCTTCATTAGTGTTGTTCTACTTTATCTTTTTCATACTTCTCTCTCTCTCTCTCTCTCTCTCTCTCTCTCTCTCTCTCTCTCTCTCTCTCTCTCTCTCTCTCTCTCTCTCTCTCTCTCAAGGCAAGCTGGTAATCACAAGCCTGCCAAGAGACATGCCCACCACTGGTCCTGTCGTAGTAGAAACCATGTCCGGTGGGACAGGCGTTTCTTCTGTTCACTTCACATACACTAAGAAGGATCAGCCCCGACCAGATGTGCTTCATTTAGGTGGGACACCGTCCTCAGGGCAGAGGAAGTCAAGGCTAAGTGGTAAGTGACTATCAATTCAATTGGTACATTATTTCCTCTCTTTTCATTGCTTTCTTAACCTCTTACATGTACATGTACATTATACATGTATATACATGTATTAGGTACATGTGTTATGTACATGTATTAGGTACATGTACAATGTACAATATATATGTACAGTACTTCCTTGATACAACTTCCTTTATTAGTGTACTCTTGGTATTCAGTTTTTAAATTATCATTTTTATTTACATGTACATGTACATGTACTTGATAACCCCTGGAGATAATAAGCTTATTTATTGGTGTCTTGTTTTTTCAAGTCTAAAATTGTTTTTAAGAGTGCAGCTGTACAGTACAGACAGTACATTGGGTGCAGAGTAGCCAGTGAATAGCTTTGTACTTTAATGAATAATGGTAGACAGTGGTAATGAAATATCCTGTTACTGACATCATTTGATAGTATATCCTGACTTTTGTGGGTGAGATTTACAAGTATCAATGTCATTATGAATGTATTACGTAGTTGAATGTTCCTGATTTAATTATGGTGTATTGTACATGCAATGTACAGTAAATGTGCATTTTAAATGAGAAAGAATGAAGAACTTGCAACTCAATTTTTTATTTTAGCTACATGTATGCCATAGATACAGTACATGTACAGATAATCAATAGCATGTACATGTACATGTGTGCATGCATGTACATGTTAGTGATAAGAGTAATTAAAAGGACCATTAATTGATAAGACATTAGCAGCACTATAAGCATTATCTTGACAATAGCCAATAATGACTGGCCCTACCTCATAGACTGATGATCTTATAATGTGTGTGTTCATGTATACGTGTATTTGTGTCCATTAAGGTGTTCTAATGTTCCTCTCAGACAGCAATATGTACAGTGTACACACCCAGTAATGGGACGTTGTATTGACTTACTTACAATATAGACTAAACACTTAGGGGCTAATGTTTCTGTTACTCATTAGTCCTCATTCCTAATTTCACCATATGTCCCTACATGCTAGCAGCTGCCCTACTGTGGCTGTACAGTGTTTAGTCTGTCCCTTTCTTTCTTTGGTTGTCTCTTTAGCAAGACTCAGTTCTTGTGCCAAATGTTTGTTGTCTTTCAATTAGGTTTCCCATCCTTTCCATCTTATATAGTGTTGCCAAATGTACATGTACATGTACATTTGGCTCTTATTACAGAATCCCTTTGTATCTGAGGTTGTATGTACATGTACATGTACATGTAGGAGAGGCACTGAATGAAAGGCTTTGTTCCTATTGGTTGAATGGCTCTGAGAGTCTTTGATGATATTTTAAAAGGACTTCCTTTATTGTGTAGAGTAGCTTTGAGCCTTAATCAATAACTCAATACCTTGTACATGTACTTTTACATTGTACATATGAAAAATACACAACCTCATGTACAAGTACATGTATTTGTATGAAAATGACATAATGTACACGTACATGTATGTTTTCATGTATAAAGAGCAGTAAACTCCTTTTATGGGTAATAACAATTAGTTGTTGCATCAGATGCAAGCTGGTCACTATTGAAGAGCTGTCTCTCTCACACTAATTTGATAAGTTGCCGGTCACATGCTAACCGAATTGCATCAGCTACTATTAGGTGCTCTGTATGTATATATGGTTTATTTTTTCACACTGAGCATTGAATTGTGTGTATTGTGGCCTCACATGACAGGCACACACACATTCACATCCTTATTGAAGTACACATACTATAGTCAGTTCTGCAAACACGCAATAATTGCATTTATGCTAATACACACTGTTGCATCATATTCAATTAAGAATCCACTCTAGATGAATTTTGTTTAAAGTCTTGTTATTTGATTCTAATACTATTCATATTGTGTTTCATGTGTTTTGACAGTTTCCCTTTGTTCTTTGCACAAAATGTATTTTTTTTTTGTCTTAGAATAACAAATTTCATGATGAGATTGTGATTTTAATTATTATTTTAGATCAAGAGATTGCTGACTTGCAAGCGGAGAACAAGTCATTAAAGCTACAAGTTAAAGGTTATTTTAATTTCTCTTTCCTCCTCTTGCTAATTTTTTTTCTTTTCTCCTCTCTCTCTCTCTCTCTCTCTATTTTCCTTCTCTCTCCCCCCCTCTCTCTCTCTCCAAAACTACTTTGTTGTCAAACACTGTAATTTATTGTTGTTTGTATCAAATCAAGTGTTAACGTAAACCTCCACATTTTCGTCTCATAACAAAAAATTCCAACGCCTATTTTTCTGACAAGAAGAATGTTTAATCATAATTATTATAGCCCATGGTTTTGTGAATTTCACTAAAAAATGCATGTACTATACATGTATCCATGTCTTATGATACCCACCCAGCTACAGTACATGTAGTTCTAAATTTCTAGCATTAATTTTAAGAGTTATGAGCAGGCTTTCTCGCAGGGATAGTGCTCGGCTTTTTGTCAGTGGATTTTTAAAGTTACTCTAAAATCTGGCAAAAGTCCCTGTAATAAGTACAGGGATTTTAGCCAAATATTGCCAAAAATGACTAGGAGAAAATTCTTCATTTTTATGATTTTTTCTGATACGTATACATGTTTTTATGCTATGTAGCAAGTTTGAGCTGATTCCAATCAAAATTGGATTTTTCACGAATTTTTAAAGTTATTAAAAATTTGGGCGAAAGTCCCTGTACTATAGTACAGGGATTTTGGCCAAATGTTGCCAAAAATGACTAGGAGAAAATTCTTCATTTTTATGATTTTTTCTGATACGTATACATGTTTTTATGCTATGTAGCAAGTTTGAGCTGATTCCAATCAAAATTAGATTTTTTACGAATTTTTAAAGTTACTCAAAAATTGGGCGAAAATCCCTGTACTATAGTACAGGGATTTTGGCCAAATTTCGCCAAAAATGACTAGGAGAAAATTCTCCATTTTTATAATTTTTTCTGATACATAGACAAGTTCTTATGCTGTGTAGCAAGTTTGAGCTGATTCCGACCAAAATTAGATTTTTTATGAATTTTTAAAGTACTTACTCAAAATATTTCGCCAAAAATGGCTAGGAGAAAATTTTTATGATTTTTATGCTGTGTAGCAAGTTTGAACTGATTCCGACCCTTTACATGTACATGTACATGTACATACATATATGTACAATGTACATGTACATGTACATACATATATGTACAATGTACATGTACATGCACATTTCTGTACAATAATAAATATTCCACGTGTACATATTGTTTATGATATTTTTCTCCTTTTTCTTTTCCCTCTTTTCCAGAGCTAAAAGAATCAAAGATCGAGATGAGTGAAGAGCTAACTTCCCTTAGAGGATATTTAGAAAGACTCTTATCCACAATCATGAACAATAACCCAGAGCTATTGGAGCTGGCAAAAGAATAGCTGTAGCACATAGTGCGTGTGTGTATGTGTGTCTTCACTTTTAAAATCCTTACATGAGATCCTAGTGGCTATATT